AAATGTCAGGGTTAGGCAATGACAGGGTAAGGGGAAATGTCAGGGTTAGGCACTGTCAGGGTTAGGGTAAATGTCAGGGTTAGGCAATGTCAGGGTTAGGGCAAATGTCAGGGTTAGGCAATGTCAGGGTTAGGGTAAATGTCAGGGTTAGGCAATGTCAGGGTTAGGGCAAATGTCAGGGTTAGGCAATGTCAGGGTTAGGGGAAATGTCAGGGTTAGGCAATGTCAGGGTTAGGGGAAATGTCAGGGTTAAGGTTAGGAATAAATACAGAAACTGAAAAGAATGGCAGCCAATATAGGGTCCTAATATGGGTAGAACTTCAAACTCATCTGTCTTTGGTCACTTGGTTTCTATTAACATGAAGTGTGTCTCATGGTATGTTTCAGACATCAAGTATCCTTTTTGGCGATGACAGAGCAAGCAGTCCTTTTCAGCTGTAATTATTTTATTCCATAAATCCTTTATGGGAGGGGACTCATCAGCTTTATGTTACATTTTGCGTATATTAATCCAGAGGCATTAAATAATTGGACCATGAAACCATGATAATGACCCTGGGAAAAGACAAAAACGTTAAACCAACAGCTTGATGAAAACAAACATTAAAAGGAGCAGAGCCTCTGGCAATATGTGGAAATCACACCAGTGTTTGTCACGCACAGCCAATCAGACTCCAATTAGCCATCTTAGCTGCAATAGACAAAGGTTGTTGTTTTTTTACTTACTCTTGTGTTGAATCTGATGGAGTTTAAGTTGCACTCAAGGTAATTTATAAATGTATTAAATCACGTTGGGCCCGGGATTAGCCAGCTGGTAGGTCCGAATCTGGACTGTGTTCCACTAATCCATGACCTCTGTTATACAAGTAGACACGGTTATTCAGAAAATATGAACATTTGCACAATAAGATAGTACCATTAAGGCCCGGTTTATCTGCAAAATAGTTGATTAGGGGTTAATATACTTAAAATGTTCTTTTGACTACGCCTACAGTACTGTATTGTACATTTTCTTCTTGAGGCGGACAGCTGTCCCTTCAAAATAAAAGACAACCTAATGCACTGATTAGAAAGAAAATAAAAGAGGAAGAGGAAGAGGAAAGAGGGGAGGGGTGGGTAGTAAGTAGTAACATCTACTCAGTTACAGTTACTTTAGTATTTTTTTTCACAAAATCATACATTTGAGAGTAGTTTGCTGCACTATATCGTTTATTTTAACTTGAGTAATATCTTTATCAAATATTGCCACTTGTACTTGATTGGCTTCTTCATCCATTGTGAGTAACTTCACTGAATAACAAACAAGTAACACAATTAATGTGTTTTTTTTTATTTTGGTATACAAGCTGACTTAAAACTACCCAAACATGTAAAGTTCTAATACTCAGTAAGAAGTAAATAATGAAGGAACTGGTTTCATTGATTTCATATGTTCTATGTCAAAAGAAAAGCGGTTTAGAAATAATAATAATTTATTTGGCCTGGAATAGATTTTTTTAAATTACTTTATTTGTTTGTTTTACTTATTTTATAATAGCTCTCAAAATGCCAGAATTAGCATCTAACTTTACATTTTGATCCGTCGTTAATCCATCATTTAAAATATTCAATTAAATTCAGTTCATTTCTATAGCACCAATTCACAACACATGTCATCTCAAGGCACTTTAAAGTTCACCAGTCAGAATAATTCAAAGTTTTCCATCTAGGGAAAACCATTTGATTGCATCGA